ACAAAAACACTTCCTTAAAAAGTAAGTAACACAGAGAAGTGCTAGCCGTTCCTAAACTAACCAGATCAGCTAAATTTTGCTTTCGTGTCTGCACAAATGGACACCATCTTGTTTCCTCACTCTACCTCTGCCTTGCTAAACTGTCCCTCTACACAGGAGAAAAGAAATATGAGCTATTTGAATCATTTCATTAACTTAAAACAGTCACAGAGGAAATCCATGCGATTGCTAAGAGACTAACGCTGACTTTTGTCGCACAAAAATCGGACTCCCTCAATTCACAGAATTCTGGTCAGTGACTACTTTTCTGGACTTTTCCCTCTTTTTTGGAACGATCTTCTTCCTTGTTTTTATTTATTTAATTTAGATTGTTGGAGAGCAATCGTCCTGGGCGGGGTGAGGGCTTAAACAAGGAAATCAGCCCGGGTTTGCTATATAAGAGGGCTAGATCGAAAGCACTGTGAAGTGGTATATAAGTCTAAGTGCTACTGCTATTGTTTTATTCCGTTATTTATAGTCTCACAAGCCACCCAGACCTGCTCAGTAAAGCAGTGGAAGGCCCACAAATTTAATAAAACAAAACAAATGGCGTCAGTAGAGTAGATGGTGTCTTTACGAGTCCTTTGGCCTTTCTCAGACCAAACGAATCGTCCTCATACTTACTGATAGTGATGGGCATGTTGTTGCTATAGTCAATGGCTACCCCAACTGGTAAGGAGTCGTCGCTTTTGTCCGTCACGGGAAGCTCTGCGCGGCTGGAGTCTTCCAACACCCACAGTTCCCAGTTGGTCTGCAATGGAAGTTGATCTGGTTTTCAAAATGTGCTTTGCAACAGCCAAGCCCTCAAGCACACAAACCCGTGACTACAGGCAGCCCTTGACTTACAACAGTTCACTTAGTAACCATTCTGAGTTACAACGGCACTGGAAAAAAAAGTGAACTTAGGATAGGCTGGACAGATATAGCTGTGTTTTTTCTCCTGCTTTTTTCTATCGTAAGAATCCAGGATGTGATTTTTCCCCCCCTCTCTTCTTATCAAAAGATCTACTCTGCCTGAGCTACTAGAATAACGTGGGAAGAGAATTACCTGATCCCCTTGTCTTGCAAGGATGCTGACTTCTGTGGAAGCGGCAGAAGCTAATAAAACCAGATCCCTGGGGATAAAGAAAAAAACCCACGTAAATGTGAAAATTCAAGGAAAATCTTAGCGCAAAGAACAAATTAAGTTCTCACTCAGATTTCCTGTGAAAAGAACAACTTATGCATATCTTTGAGCAAGCCAGAGATCCGATCAGCCCACAAACAGGAAAGAAACACCTGACATTGTGGTGGAAGATTTGTTTGGAATGGTGGATACAAGTGAACGTCTTTAGGAAAAAACAGAAAGCAAACTCCACTTCCTTCCAGCATTGATGACGTTACCTAGTTGGGTCATGAAACGTCTGCAAGAAAACAATCAAGCTACTGTATATAAGCAGGGAGCAAGTCACAGTAGCACTGATCTTGTCTAGTAGGCTAACAGCTCAGAGAATGCCAAGGACCTCACAGTTCAACCCTGGGCTACATATATTCTCTCCTATCGATGCTTACCAGTCTTCAACATAGTTAAGAAAGTAGTGATGTAATCTCTCGGTGCAACTCCCGTAACAAGGCTCCATAAAGTTTACAAATATTTCAGGTCTCTTCTCTTCTTTTTTCTGAAGAGGGAGAAGAGCAACAACTTAGTTTCTCATCTTCTTCTTCTTTTTTTTTTAAAAGCAAGATCTGGCACAACCGTATCCTTGGTGGATACCTACTGGCAATAGAGCCATAACCACTTCAGGGGCGGTTTCTAAGCTCCCGTCGGCAGCGGCGTAAATGATGGTGAAGACGTAAGTGCCGATCCACAACACATCCAGGACTGGAAAAGAACAATAAAAAAGATTATTATACAAGAGTTTTATTGAGGTGCCTGGCCACAAAGTGGACTTTTTATTGATCCATCGAATTCTACATTATCCCTTTTGGGGAAGATGCTTTTTAGGAAGAGATAGATGACCAGGAAGAGGGCGGCCTGTAAAAAATTAGTGAAATTGTTTGGATTTGTCTGGAAATCGTTCCTAGATTTTACCTTTGCGTTTTTAAACCTCCTCTAAAAATTATTATTTCTCCAAACCAAGCACTGTACTTTCTATTCCATGTCAGGTTTACCTGGCCTAATTTAGCTATTAGAAACTTGCGTTAAAATTAAGAGAAAAAAAAGGCCCACCAGGCTCCTACTGAAATATCACTAAATTCGTACCCTTGACAGGATTATCCGCCACATAGAACGGAGGGCAAGGAATGGTTTTTTTTTCCTGCAGGTTCTGAAAAACAGAAGAAACAACACAGTTCGACCGTATTTTTCTCTGTTGATGCAGCACTTAAGAAGTTCCAACTTATCCAGAGCTAATTATTCTGTGAATTAATCCACAATTAAGACTTACTGGCAGATACTGGACGACTGTGCCGTTCTGCTTGCCTACTGCCAGCTGTTTCCCTTTAGGACTCCAACACACTGGGGAAAAAACAACTTTATTTCAATAAAAAAGCCTTAAAAAACTGACACATTAATTATTACACCCACTAGCCTCTCAAATCTTAACAGAGCAACCCATTGTTGAGAGGAATCAGGGCAATTTTTGTCCAGCCTTGTGCCAATCAAGGACACTTCAGATATGGTTCATCAAGCCAGTTAATCAGGCTGAGAAGATAGAAGCTGTAGTCCCACCTAGCTTAGTCGTCAGAATACTGGTATTGTAAACCAGGGTCATGAGTTGGTTCTTCGCTGAGGCCTCCCCAGTTTGATCTAATGGTTAAGGCACCAGGCTAGAAAATGGGCCAAAATCCTGCCTTAGGCATGAAAGCCGGCTGGGTGACTTTGGGCCAATCACCAGGAGACGGTGAGTTCTAGTCCCACCTTAGCCACGAAAGCTGGCTGGCTGACTTGGGCCAGTCCCTCTCTCAGCCCACCCCACCCCACCCCACCGAGTAGTTGTTGTAGGGATAATAGGATGGGGGAAGAGGACAATTAGGTATGTGCACTGCCTGGAGTTATTTATAAAAAATAACAGGGTGAGATATAAATAAATAAGTACAAATATATGAATAAAAAACCAGATAACTAAAATGAATTTGGGTGAGGGGATGAGACCATGTGACCCACCGGATGTAACAGCCACTGAAGCAGGAAGTGTGGCGTACACCTTTACGGTCTCCGTCACTTGCAGGACGGAGACACTCCCATCTGACAGACAGACAGCTAACATGGAGGCATTCACTGGATTCCACTTGAGGTCGTTGACCAGCGCGCCTGGCATCTTTTGATAAGCAAATGGCCGTTTTTGCTGTTTAGCCTGTTGGCAAAATTACAGGGTAATGAGAAGGAGGATGATATGAGAAGTTGGCTAGAATAACATCAGGCACAAAAGATCAAATCATACATTTAAGTGGCAGTTTGGAAATTTTACTGCTCAAACCTACACACAGGAATCAGAGAGTCCAGCTGGTTTCAGAATAAAAGCACCTTTGGGATAACGCACCAAATGATAACCGGGTTTAAAGCGGGCAGCTCACCTGATTCACAAAAGTGCGGACGTCGAAAAAGCCAACGAAAGAGCCAACTTCGCTGGAGGCCATGCAGACCGACAGCGTAAGGTTATCACAGCTGAGCGCCAAGTGATGCACCCAAAACTTTGTGGGAACAAAAAGGCCGTGGATATTCTCTACTGTGGAAATAAAAGGAAAGGAAAAGTTGAAAAAACCTCTACTGCTCTTTGATAAGTTTCCACCCTCTATCATCTCAGACAAATGACTGTCCAATTTCTTTTTAAAAATCTCCAGTGTTGGAGCACCTACAATTTCTGGAGGCGCCATCAGCCCAGATGCTGGACATTTTGCAAGCACCCTGTCCAGCAGCAAGGTGGAGTGATTCAGTTATATGGTGATGGAGGCATCTTTTGAAGACCCGAAGAACTAGGCTTCATGGAGATAATCTATCTCTACGGTCACTAAGAGCTGACACTGATTTAATGGCACCTATTCCATCAAACAAACAGCCAACCAGCTAAAGCGGAACACGAGGGAGAATCCAATATAAATCTCACCTATTTTATTAGGAGAATCCCCAGCCTGAATCTGCATAAGCAGGCTTTTCGTGTGAAAGACCTGCAGTCCAGCTGCACAACCGGTGAACGTCAGCCCGTATTTGTTGGACACAACCAGCAGGTTGCCACGCTCCTTGGGCAGATCCTCGGGGGCTTCAAAGATCCGGATTTTCTTCAGGGCCCGGAATTGAAAATCCTGCCGGAAAAGCACGGTATTAGAAGCCTTACTAGAAAGAGAAACATTCATGAGAGCCCTTAAGAAGCATTTGTCTGGAATGGTATAGGATCTCCTGCTTGAGCAGGGGGTTGGACTAGAAGACCTCCAAGGTCCCTTCCAACTGCAGTAGCTGACTTGAATGAGAATAGAATCCCTACCAGCCTGATGGTTCTATGTTCTATTTCCCAACTGTTAAAAAAGTAACTGTTGCTTAACCGCTTTAGATAACCAAAGACAGGATTATTCTTTTGAGGGTGGGATTGTGTGTGGGGGGGCAGTAAATCCAACTTCTAGGCTTGGAAAACGTTTAGGTTACCCAAATCGGGATAATTCTTTTTGTTTTATTTTTAATTGGCGGGGGGGGGGGGAGAGGCTGTCCAAAGACCCCACAGTGGATCCAACTTGGAAAGCAACTAAAGTCGCTTTGGGTAGCGAGAGGGGCAGCATAGAAATTTACCAAATAATGAATGAAAATGGAAATTAAATACAGTGAAATAAAATAACAAAAAAGTATAGTATAGTGTAGTATATAGTGTAATATAATATAATACAATAGTATAGTGTAGTATAATATAATACAATAAATACAATAGTATAGTATAGTGTAATATAATATAATACAATAGTATAGTGTAGTATAATATAATACAATAAATACAATAGTATAGTATAGTGTAGTATAATATAATACAATAAATACAATAGTATAGTGTAACATAGTGTAATATAATATAATACAATACAATAAATACAATAGTATAGTGTAATATAGTGTAATATAATATAATAAATATAATAAATACAACAGTATAGTGTGGTATAGTGTAATTCAATTCAATTCAATTCAATAACATCTTGGGAGCTTTATTCTGTCTGGCCTACCTGGCAGGGCTGTTGTGCAGGAGGAAAGAAGGTGGTGAAGGAATAATGGGGGGAGGAGAGGGGCGACTCTCCCCCCCCCAGACTTATTAAAGGAGCCGCCAAACGTCATAACGAACCCGGGGGAGGGAAATTGGGGGGGCACTAAAAACCCTAATCCCCGGTTCCTTCTGCTCCCCTCAGCCCCGACCAAGGCCTCCGTCGAAGCCCGGCCTCACCTTCATCTCCCGCTCGGGGATGACGTCCATGTCGTCGCCCATCTCGCCGCCGCCGCCCGGGCGCTGGCAGCCTGGACACGCGCCGCCCGCTCTTCACATCCCCGCTTTTTCCACGGAGGGGAAGGAGAAAGTAACGGACGCGCGGCGCTTCCGCTTCCTGCGACGCTCTAGGCGCGCCTTGCGGGTTGACGCCTAAGGAAAGGGGTGTGGCGAGAGGAGGGAGGGAAGGCCGAGGGGTGGAAAATAGGAGATGCCGCCGCCGCTGCTGCTCCTAGCGCGGCCGGGAGTCCCGGACGCTCCGTTCCTTCGTGCGGGAAAGAAAAGAAAAAAAGTGACGTCTTTCCGGTATCGGCGCTCTTCCGCTTGGTCAACTCTATGGCTAGTGCTAAGGAGATGGAAACAAAAGTACGAGGACATAGATGTAGGAAGAATTCTCAGCACGTTCAGGAGGCTGAAGGCTCTAACACTTAGGAAAATCTATAGTAAGATAGATTTCTAAAAGGGGAGGAAAGCAAAACGTAATAAAATATAAGACTATTTCATCGTGTTTAAACCTTTCTATTCAACTCCTGATAGACATTAGGTGGACCCGTGCTGTCTACTGGCCCTTCTTGATGATCCAATTAACGACGATTTAATTAACAGGATTAAAATATTGGCACACAACCATCCCATGACCGATTGTTGAGCTCAAGAGGAATAATTGCAGAATTTGCAATATCTTCGCTTGATGCCAGGTCAAGGAATAAGAGAAACCAACTGCATGACTGCACTGCTACTGTTTTATTAGGGAAAATTAGGGATTTACAAGCTTAGGAAAGAGGGTCCCAAACCAAGTCACCAACCCTTCATATTAAGATGAAATAGAAAAAAAGCAGGACAAGACATTCAGGAAAGGACCGCTATGAATGTTCAATAAATATCAACGGCTTCAGAGAACTTTCCTGCTGGCTTGAGGTTAATGAGCTATCATACCTCTGAAAACCAGGGCAACATTAGCTTGGGTGAACATGGCACTTAGAATATAAAAGACCTTCCAATCTTATTATTCCCCAGAACGTGGAATAACAGAGCTGGAAGGGACCCTTGGAGGTCATATAATCCAACTCCCTGCTCAAGCAGGAAACCCTATACCAATTCAGACAATATAGATGTTCCTATAAAATAAGAGGATCAGTTGATAGTTCCTAGCCCTTCTCCCAAGTGCTAGAATCCTTGGTCCAGATTCAGATGTCCCTGGAGTTTCACAGAACATAGAATAATAGATTTGGAAGGGACCGTGGAGGTCTTCTAGTCCAACCTCCCTCTCAAGCAGGAGAGCTTATACCATTTCAGACAAATGGCTGTCCAGTCTTTTCTTGAAAACCTCCACTGTTGGAGCACCCACAACTTCTGGAGGCAAGTTGTCCCACCGATTAATTGTTCTCACCGTCAGAAAATTTCTCCTTAGTTCTAGGTTGCTTCTCTCCTTGGTTAGTTTTTAACCACTGATTCTTGTCTTGCCTTCTGTTGCTTTGGAAAATAGTTCGACCCCATTGTCTTTGTAGGAGTCCCTCAGATATTGGAACACTGCTGTCATGTCTCCCCTAGTCCTTTTTTTCTCTAGACTAGACATACCCAATTCCTGCAACTGTTCTTCATATGTTTTAGCCTCCAGTCCCCTAATAATCTTTGTTGCTTTTCTCTGCACTCTTTCTGGAGTCTCAACATCTTTTTTTATATTGTTGTGATCAGAACTGGATGCAGTTTCTCCTTGTATGAGCAGGTCAATGGAAACTCTTGAGTTCCAAATCCATTTACATTGTAGGATTTATGTTACTAGATGTGGTAGCTTGAAGTTCAGTAATTTTTTTTCATTCACACCTTCTGGACACCCCTCAACAGCCAGCATTGAAGACATCCCAGACAACAAGTGTTCCCCACAGTCCATGTAGCTTGGTTTTGCCCATGTTGCTAAGCCAAGACTTGATTAAAGTTGGTTGAATAAACCACCATTGGGTAGATTGATCTGGCACACTGACTTCTAAGCCTTGGGTTTGCAACCTCGTGGGTTAACACTAAACAGGAAGCTAAACCCAAATAATAGTTTTGTGGCTTTGTGCAATGTGTGAACCCAGATAGTATTAAATGAAGGACATCATAGCAAAGACGATAAGATAGAACCCCTGACAACATAATCAGGAAAGTCTGTGCACAACAGAGCTGGATTTTCGTACCTGAAGGAGCCGAAATAACGCATCTCCCCAGAGTTTACACAACACATTAGGCTGAAATGCACTTAGTGGTCTATGGTGCATTGGGAGAGGGCGCCATGCCTGAAATCAGGTTGTGTGAATACAGCCATGATCCTGAGTTTAGCATGTTGCATGAATCCTCTTACAAACAAGATATTTTTCACTGGTGTCCATGATATACACCTCAGAAGCCAGAATCTGATTTATTTAGTGGACCCTGTGAGTCTAACTGTATAGATTCATTTGGGTTGAAAGTCAGCAGGGGGCGCCTCTAGCCATCTCTGGCAGACCTTGGAAAAAGCTAAGCAGGGTTGAAGCTGGTTAGCGTTTCAATGGGAGACGACCAGGAGACACGCCCCCCCCTCTAAAGGCTAAATGGTTGGACTGGGAAGTTGAAAAAAAGAGAGACAATAGAAGTAAATGGCAAATTGCTTTGTATTGATACCAAGAAAACTAAAGAACCTTGATGAGAGTCCAGTCACTCAACAGAGACTTGACCTCAATGGGTCAACTCAATCGCTAAAAGAAGGAGAGCACCTTAAGATGACTAAACCCAACTCCACAGCCCAATGTTTCTTATTCCAAAACTCACACAGGGTAGTCCTTGACTTATGACCACAATATTAAGACTAGAATTTTCATGGCTAAGCAAGACAGTTGTTAAGTAAGTCGCACCCAGTTTTATGACCTTTTCGCCATGGTTCTTCAGCGAATCACTGCAGTGGTTGAGTTGCACGGTCATTAAATGAATTCAGCTTCCCCCATTGACTTGGCTTGTTGGGGGCTAGTTGGGAAGGTCACAAAGAGATCCTGGGACACTGCAACCATCATAAATGAATGCCGGTTGCCAAGCACCTGGATTTTAATCACACAGCCGGGGGGTTGCTACGACAGTCCTAAGTGCGAAGACTGGTTTGTTTCAGTGCCATTGTAACTCTGAAGGTCGCTAAATGAATGATAAGTCAAGAACTGCCTGTATTGAGAAGGAGAAGCCACACTGATCTGATCAAGGAAAGGCGTCGAATTGGCTTGAACAAGAAACCAAGATTAGAAAAATGTTTGCATTTTAAAGAATGACAGAAGGAAAAGATCTTCAGAAATCAGGAAAGCTACTTTGAGAAAACATTGAGAACTTTTGTGGTTGTTCTGCAAAACCGATTTTTTTTTTCATTTGTAGACCCCCAACTCCAAAACTAACCACGATGTCACTCAAGTCCGCCCCATCTGGCTTAGGACTGATTCTAAATCCAGGCTAAAACGTCTCTGATTTTTCCTTTTTGCTTTGAAGTGATGGTGAAGAACTTCTGAATTGTTTCAGGTTTGAGAGAAAAAGGAGTGCTTTGGAGAGCACGGATCTGTTGAAAAACCTCCCTTGAAACCTGGATTTTGCTCCCATTCTGGAGAATGATGGGGCTTGCTAGAATTGAGAATAAAAATCATTCTGTGGCATTTTGACATCCTGTGGATTTTTGCTTGCAGGTCCTTTGGATGGAGTCTTTAAAACGGGCCGGTTTAAAAGCAATGGAGCAGAGATCTTGCGGTCATGGTCAGAGGTGAAAATGTTCCGTATTTTCTTATCCCTTTAAGGAAGACTTGAGAGATCTCTCTCTGGAGGGGGACCCGAAAATTTGGGGGCGGTTTCCTGACTTTTGCCTTCAAACATCATGACCCTGAAAGAAAAGAACAGAAAAGGAGTGGAGAATTAATGGAACCGCTTGCTTTGTTCTTAGAGCAGTGATCCTCAACCTCAAGATGATTCTCAACCTCAACTCCCAGAATCGCCCAGCCAGCATGTTCGCCAGCCAGCATGATGGGGAATACTGAAATCCACCAGCTTAAAGCACACTGGCTGGGGAATTCTAAGAGTTGAAGTCCAGCCATCTTAAAGTATGGCTGGCTGGGGAATTCTGGGGCTTGAATAACCGAGTAAAAGAGTTACTCACCTGCGATGTCCTGTAGATTCCCAACCTCTCCAACTTTCTCTGCTGAGAATGGCTAGACTGCTTCACCTCACTTCCCTAGTTGGCTGACTCTAACCCACACCACTTAAAGGTTCTTCTAACATCACAACCGATGGTTTCCCTCTTGAGAATCTTGGAGTGAATGGCCTGGTCAGCCATGGAGGAAGGACACAAGCCGGAGGGCAAAGAGGAGGGGACGGGAGGGGAATTGGAAAGTTTTGGTAATGGGAGCCAACTCTCTTGTGCCCACACAGAGTTCGGAGTTATTGTTCCCTGTCCAGAATTCAACATTTGGAACAGAAATGAAAACCGAGACGCGGGCCGAAAGACAATGCGTAGTTTGTTCCTGCGATTCTTGTTCTTCTTGCATTTTAGCTTTTTAAAGCAACGCATCTTTAGCAAAATAGCTTTTCGTCTTAGCTGGGGTGGGGGAGTCTCCATTGATGGGGTGTCAACTTCGGTTCTCTGACGTTTTGTGGCTAACAAATTTAAATAAATAAACAAGGACTTGAGGAGGTTAGCAAGGCAATTGCTAACTGAAGTATGCCCCATTTTATGCACCTTTTTGTCATGGTTCTTAATTTGAATCCCTGCAGTTGTTAAGTTAGTAACAGGGTTGTTAAGAGAATCTGCTCCAACGGTCATAGGTGGGAAAAATGGTCCTAAGTCACTTTTTTTCAGTGCTGTTGCAACTTTGAACTGTCACTAAATGAATGATTTTAAGTTAGGGAGTATCTGTATTGTCAATCCTTCATTAAACTGCCCAAAGTCACCTTATAGGAGAGGTGGATGACATAAAAATTTAAGAAAGAAAGAAAGAAAGAAAGAAAGAAAGAAAGAGAAAAAA